GCTATATGAGCAATGGATCTGAACCCTGTCTCTCCTGTGCTATCCTCAACAGCTCTTCTGTGCTGGAGCCCAGAGTTCCAGTGACTCAGTTCATCTTGTTGAGTGTCCTCTCTTCCTTTGCTGACCCTCTGCCTTTCCAAGCATGATGTCTTTTTCTAAGGACTGACTTCTCCTAACAACACGCCCAAAGTATGAGAGACAAAATTTCACCGCTCTTGCCTTTGAGGAGCACCATGTTTGTACCTTCTGCAAGACATATTTGTTCTTTTTTGGCAATCTGTGGAACATTCAGTACTCTTGCAAAGGCATCGATTCTCCTGTCATCCTTAGTCACAGATCTCATGAAAAGTTGAATGTGTTTAAAAGAACTTTAGAATCCTTTAGTATTGACGTCTTAAAAAATAATTTGCTACCAGATTCTATGTGCTCACCTCTTTGCCATCTAGTTGGAATTGACTCAGACTTGACCCTAGGAGTTAGCACATTTTTTTTACCCAAATAAATAAAGTTCTGCCTGAAAGTAAACTGATTACACTAAGTTTTAGCAGCTATCTTTTCTACTTATAACTATGAATGAAACTTTGTGAGAATGATGTGACAAACTATTGATAGTGTAAAGAAATTAAATGTCTTTTAGCCATTTGATTGTAGAATGATTTAAATTTGCAGCACTGCTTTATGTAGGGAACAAGAAAGGTTACAACAAAGGCCAACAACTATAATCTCTAGGATTTAGGATGAGGAATTTTTTTTAGCCAATATTTTAAATATTCTACAGAGAACATGTATTAATTTTAGAAGAACCTCAAAGTATTTTCAGAAACCTATTTGTAATACAGTGTAAGTAATTTATGTGGGCTTTTATCTGAAAGTTCATGAAAAATATTGGAGAAATCTATGAACCCTAAATATTAATATGAATGTGCATGCTATCCATCTGGGTATCTTTAGTCATGGGTTCATTTGTTAACACCTGTTAAGTGTATTTCACAATCAAATCAGACAAATCTGAAGTTTGAAAGGGTACCAGCCTCAATAAAGGGTGGAAGACATGAAAAGAAAAATATCATAATACAGAATTCTTTTATTAAAAAACAGACAATAACAAACAATGGCAAAGATGTATAGAAATTGGAATCCCCATAAATTGTTGGTGATATTGTAAAATGGCACAATTGCTTAGGAAAACATTTTGGCCATTGTCCTCAAATTTAAATATTAAGTTACCAGATGATCTCATAATTCCACTCCTAGACAAATGCCCAAGAAAAGTAAAAACATATGTCCCCACAAAAACTTTGACACAAGTGTTTGTAGCAGCCTTACTCGTTAATAGCTCCACAGGAGAAATAACTCAAATGTTAATAATTAATTGATAAAACAAATATGGTATACTCATACAACAGATTATTCTTTGTCAATAACAATGATAAAATATACATCTTTCAACATGGATGAGGATTTAAAGTATCATGTGAAAGTATCAAATGAAAGAAGCTAGCCACAAAAATCCACTTATTGTATGATTTCATTTCTATGACATATCCAGACTAGACAATCTATAGAAGCAAAAAGTAGATGAGTAGTTACCAGGAGTTGAGGAAAGAAGAACTGGGAGAATGAATGACTGTTAATGCGTACCAGAGTTATTTCTGGTTAACGAAAACATTCTAGAATTAAGTAGTAGTAGTGGCATCACAACTTTGTGAATATACAGAATTGTACATTTCAAAATGGTGAATTTTATACCATTCATGTATCCATTTCAAAAAATACTTCTTTCTACTTTTTGTCTCTTTGATGGGAAAACAGAGGCATTTTTCAACTCAAAACCCATTTCTGTGTTTTCCTGGTAATCTGATTCCTGTAATACATATGGGAAATTCCCTAGAAGAATTTGAGAGTCAGTCAGTAGTTTTCAAGAAGACCCATATTTTGAAGTCTGAAAAAAACAAGCTATGTTTTACCCACTAACAGGAAAGTTCATAAAACCCAAGGCCCTGAGGTAAGCCTATGCAGAAAGATTCATTAACGTGAACTGACTAGTATGCAATGTCTGCCAGTTAGTATGAGGAGAAAATTGAGGAGACTTAATTTAGAAATATCTTTATCAGGGAAAAGTAATTAATAAGACCAGAAACCACATCCTCACAATTAATTGCATGTTGTATGGAAACTTCAGAGGTCTTCTATTTGAACTCTATAAAAAAAGGTTACTCCATCTATTACTCATTAAAAACGAAAAGACTCACAAATAAATTAGAGGCTGCAAATTAAAATAGGAAATCAGAATTTTGACCCCGCTACACCTTCAGAAACTGCAGCTATACGGAACACAGCGGTGTGATAGCGGATAGAGGGCAGCTGAACGCAAGACTGTGGACCGGACATCGGAGACACAGCACCTTCAGTAGGTGTCTACTGTCCTGTGTCCCTTCATGAGCAAGATCCTTTGTGCTATCTTCTGAGCAATTAAACAGTCACTGCTGGGATTGGTTCATTTCTGAGTTTAATAGGTTAACTGATTTGCTGAAGATCACACTCCTAGAAAATGGAAAACCCAGGTTAAATCATTTGGGGTTTTAATTCCTCTAACACTGACCCTTCACCACATCCCACCTTTGCAAAAGTCCTTTACTAAATTGAAGTGTTACATGCATACACTGTTGAATGGCGCACAGATGGTTTTAACTCCTACAAACTGTAAAGCACAGAGGAGGGCTGCCTGTCCTGTATGCTTCCAAGGTGGAAATCTTTACTGTCAGGCAAAATGTACACTGATTTGGTGTTTAGAGTTCATTTCGGTTTTATATAGCACTCATATGGCACTTCTCCAGTCCAAATTTAGGACAGTTTTGGCATCCTATAATGTTTCTTTTGTACCTTCAACCACTATTTTTATTTCTGCCATTAACATTCAGTTTTGCCTATACTCGAATGTCATACAAATTGAGTAATGCAGTAGGCACTCTTACATGTCTGTCCTCTCTCACTCAATATATAATCATATTTGTGAGATTCATTCATGATGTTAAGCCTGTGTGCTAGAAATTAATCTTTTTTTATATTATTGCTGCCAACTCTCTTTCTCTCTCTTTTTTTCGACCTATCCTTTCTTCATAGACGGGTTAGACTCAGTCTAATCCAGAATATCTTGCAGTGAATTGAAGATGAAAATGGTCTATGCCTGCAAATAGGTGAACAAATTCCAATGATTCCAAAGCTCTGATCTACATTTCTAGGGGTCAAAGTACAGGCTCTGCATAACAAGAAGCAAACAAAAAGAAAACCACTAACAAGAAGCAGCAAAACATGCTGAATAATCCAAGCCAAGATATAATTGAGCCAGAGTATTTACTCCAAGCCTTCTGGGGGTGAGCCAGGTCATTCTTGTCCCTACTGTTAGCCAAATTGAATGGTGGCTGAATCTAATGAAAAGAAGCCACTCATTCAAGACCTTAGACAAGCTATTGAAAAGGGGTTGTTGTTGTTGTTGAGTACTGTCCTTCCAGAATCCCCATAGATTACCCTCCAGTGGGTTGTCAGAGGCAATAAATCACACAGGAGGAGACTATCCGTCTTTATCCATGGAGCTGCTAGTGCACTCTAATTGTGTACCTTTACATTGGCAACACAATTCCTTACCACTAAGCCACCAGAAGGTGGCTTCTGGCTTCTCCCCTATTTAAGCAGTTAGATGGAATTTTTGGGAAACTTTTTTTTATCATCTTTTTTATTAATTTTAATGAAAATTTACAGAGACTTTGGATTTCCATTCATACATTGTTGCAATTTTCTCCCTCCCCACCTCTCCCAGCCCCAAAGTTTGCTCTTCTCTTTGAAAAGGAAAAGAAGTTTCCCCCATTGTTTTACAATCCCTTCCCCCAGGTCCACTCCACTATGCAGCCTTCGTTTTGGACTCCTGCCATAACAATAATACCTAATCACATATCCCTTTTAAACAGTTTTCTCCCTCATCTGTTTCAATGCAGTATACATTATATACATCTTTTTTAGTCTCTCTCCAACCGCAATGTTAGTCCTGTTTTACAACAGTATTTGTCCCTGTGTGACTGAGGTATTTCACTCAACATAATGTTCTCCAGGGTCACCCATTTTGAATAATATTGCATGAGTTCCTTATTTTCAATGCAGCATAGTATTCCATTGTGTGAATATACCACAGCTATACCATTCGTTTGTTCATGGGCAATTAGGTTGTTTCTAACTCCTGACTATTGTGAACAAAGCTGTGATAAACATGGGTGTGCATATATCTGCTTGGATGGCAGTTATGGTGTCTTTGGGGTATATGTATATTTCCAGTAGTGGAATTGCTGGGTCAAATGGTATCTCTCTTTGCAACTTTTTGAGAAAGCACCACACCACTTTCCACAATGGTTGCACCATTTTACACTTCTAGCAACAGTAAGGGCTCCAGTTTCTCCACAACCTTGCCAGCATTTGTTGTTTGCTGTTCGGTTAAATTTTGCTATTCTGACTGGGGTGAGATGATATCTCATAGTTGTTTTGATGGAACCGTTTTTTTTTTTAAAAATCCCAAAACATTCCATTGCTGTTGAGTCAGAAGTGACTCCTTGTTGACTCTTCTGCAAGTTTTCAGAGACTGCACAGAAAGTGAGAGCTCACCTCTCTCCTTCACAGAAGCCAGTGGATTTGAACCACCTGTCTTGGGATTGGTAGTGCAACTCCCTACAGACAAGACTACCACAGCTCTAGGTGGCATAGATGATTAGACACATAACTACTTCTCAAAAGTTTGGTGGTTCTAGTCTATACCGAGGCACTTAAAATATAGTTCTTGATATTTGCTTCTAAAAGAACTCTGTGGAGCACAGTTCTACTTCGGAGCACAAGAGATTGTTATGAATTGAGATCAAGTTAGTGGCAATCAACAAGATAGTTTCTAATGTCCCACACAGAAAAAAAAATAAATCATAGTGCGTGAAAGAAAGACAATGCAGAAAGGCAATACTCACTTATTTCACACTGTTCTCCCTCCAGACCTGGAGGGCAAATGCACTTTCCAGGGTAGAAACAGGTCCCTCCATTGAAGCAGGTGGTTGAGCAATTTACTGTTAGAACAAATAACAGCAGATTAAAACTGACAGACTTTTCTTAAAGGAAGATGACACTTTCCTGTTTCCTTAAGAAAGCAAGCTGTTTTATTGATATAAAAATGTAACTAATTGCTTGACTATTTGCATTCTGACAACATAACAAAATAGTAGTGCACATGTGATTTAATGAACACTTCTAGGGGTTTATGCCTTACTGAAAAGACGCTGGGGAGGGAGGAACAAATATCTTTCATGTTTTCTTTTCAATTTATTCTTAGAAGGAAATAAGTGCAATAAACCCAGTCAATTTTTTTTTCAAACATAATGTTGGAAGATGAAGGTAGAAAATTAACTTTGGAATAGCTAAAATGGAACAGAAGTCATAAGTACTAGGATATGACAAGTGAGAAGATTTACCTTTTTTCCCAGAATAAGTTCAACAGAGATTCATCTTATCTAGTAAGAAATTTTTTAACAAAAATAGACTCTATTGGAGGAAGAAATAACTGTTTAGGAAAAGAAAAAGGTAGACCCTTCAGAGATAGTGAAGTAATGTTCCATGAATCTAAATCCAATCTAAACCTGGTGTCATTCTGATTCATAGAGACCTTACTGGACAAAGCAGAACTGCCCCCCAGTGTTTCAAAAGCATTAATCTTTACAGAAGCAGACTGCCACATCTTTCTCCTGTGGCTTTTTAAATTCAAATGGACCTTTCAGTTAACAGCCAAGCATTTAACACTATGCCATGTAAGCCAGAGAGTCAACGAACTAGATTACCTGAACAATAATTCTATTGTGTATGAGTAATCCTAAACCCTTTGCTTTGATTTCTGAGATTTCACTGCTCACTAGTACATAAACCAAAGGGCAGAGAAATGAAGCCCAGAAAATAGCAAATATGTGAAAATCAACCAGCTGGCTCATTCTGTAAAGGAGATGAGAATTGAAGCTTGGACTTGCAATGATTGCCTATTTGTTCTCATTCCACATGAGACAGACCAATATTGGCTATAGATGAACAGAAGTTAACGTAAGCTTCTAGTAGGAAAACCAGAAAAGAAATTAAAAAAAATTATAAGGGTATATTTTTTTTTGCATGGGGGGAAAAAGGTCCAACTAGAAAGTTCTTACTTCTTAAATGATAAGCTTTGGGTTTAAAAATCCCACCTAATTCTCAGTTTAGTGGCATATGCTGCATTGTCTTTGGCAAAGTCAAATTCAATGTCAATGAAAGCAACAGCATTTACATAGAAGATTTAGCAAAAGCACCTTTCCGGGGCTCTTTGCTACTTGCTGCTACTATCCCTAGAAGTGGGGAGATGTTTTTTGTAAGTGTATCTGGTCTCCCCACTTATCCCTGCTTCTCCTGGGGATAATAAGAGAGAGGACAAAAAAAGGGCATCAGGATCAGTATTTGTGTGGCCCAGGCCCTATGGACACGTTCCTTTACTAATGTGTGGCATAGAGTGGTGGCTTAATTGAAATTTACAGAACTTGACAAAGTTAGTTATATAATTTGGTCACACATTCTTACTATTCTACCGTCTTGCTTAAGTTTCTCGACATTTGCTTGTGCAAAGATTCTTGACTACAAAAATAAGCCATGGACACAAAATAATTTTCTCTAGAGCTAAGAGTATGTTTGGCTGATACTTAACTGCAGGTGTCACTACAGCCAGTGAAAGTTACCCTTTCATTTTTCTTCCAGAATGTAGTGCTGAAGCTTAACTCTATGCCAGTAATTTAAGCCATTTTTCAGAAGCTTCATCAGAGGCTTTCAGAAGCTCCACTCCCTCCAGGAATATACGAGCACCCTTTTGTTAGCATATTGCAAAACATTATTTTAAAAACTATTCTCAAGTCTCTAATGATAGCAAGTGGAATTTCAACAAATTTTCAATAATAATAATAATAATAATAATAATTTACTAAATTGTAACACAAGTACGAATGTCTTTAATCTTAAAGTATTTGAAAATGTTAAAGGTACTAGAATTTTAATATGTGTGCTCCTTCAACACTGACAGTGTAGTGTTTGTGACACCATTAACATTAGAAAAATATCCCAGTGGATTCTTTATTTTGTAAACCGCACCAACAATAGCCACGTCTATGGACACAGACACACAGTCATCTTTTAAGCCTGTGAGTATATAAATTCTTTAACTCTTTGAGTTAAGTTCTGCATCCCAGTAGCTGAGAGGTAATATGAGTTTAAGCCTGTTTCAGCAAATTCCTAATTGTGAAACAAGGTTTTAGATAAAATTGAAGGAGTTCCACAATCAATCGTTTGTTTGCTGGCAGTTAGTTATTATCAATTTTTGTATTTTTATTTTATTTTATTTTCATAGTTTTAATGAACATTTACAGAGATTTTGGATTTCCATTCATTCATTGCTGCACTCCCCCCCACCCCCACCCCAGTTTGTTCCTCTCTTTGAAAAGTAAAAGAAAAACCCCCTCCCTGGTGCACAATCCCCCCGCACCCCTCCCACCACCCCAAGTACATTCCACTACGCAACCTTAATTGCGGAATAATATAATTTTTTAACGATTGCTTTTTGCTTTTAAAAAGTGCACAGACGCTCTCACATGTTATCTCAATTAGCTAACTGAGCTCAACAGGCTTATTTAGCTTGCTGGTTTAATTCCATGTTTTTACGATGGGCAAAGCATGGCTCAGAGAGAGATCCAATTATTTCCCTAGATCCAGAATCATCCATGGAGAAATCAGGATCTGAAGCAGATTGTCTAAGTCAGGCAATGTGGCACATGAAAGATGTGAATTTAGATCAAGATATTCAAGCTCTGGAGTCCTGGTGAAATGGTGGTTAAGCCCTTAGTTAACCAAACCAAACTTGTTGCCATAAAGTTGATACTAACTCATTTCTACCCTATAGGGCAGAATAGAACTGTCCCATAGGATTTTCACAGCTGTAACATAGTGGTAGGGCATTGTGCTGCCAACTCTAAGGCAGATGGTTCAAATACACCAGTTTCCTCTTTAAAGAAATATAGACAATTTACTTGTGTGTGATTTACAGCCTCTGAAACCTTGCTTGAGGACCAGTTATGATTTGGTTCTGACTCAATGACAAAGAACCACCACATTCATGGAAGAACAATCATATATTTGTGGAAGCCAACATCACATCTTTCTTCCATGAAGTCACTGGTCAGTTTGAACTACCATCCTTTCTGTTAGCAGCCAATTATTTAATCACTGTGCCACCAGGACTCCCCTCCATAAAGACTAAAGCCTTTTAGACCCTAGGGAGCTGTTCTACTTTGCTCTTTAGTGCCACAATGAGTTTTCAGCAATGGGTTGGTGCACTTAAGTTCTATAAGCTTCATTTATTTATTTACTTGGGAATAAGAAGGTAATATTTTACATAACTCAAAAGGTTGTTGAAGGCAAAAATCAGATAAATGTACAAAACCTCTTTGTATACTCTAAAATAGGAGGTAATAATAATTATTCTAGTTCATGCTAAGAGCTTATTGCTTAATTTTATTCATTTTCTTTAAAACTGCTTTCTTAATGGATGCTAATTGTCTTATCACTAGATAATAACTGTAAAAATCAAATTAATTTGAACACTCAAGCACATAGGATCACGAGGGCAGTGTTTGTCCAAGGATAAAACTCAGTAAGTAGGAAAGGAGAGGACTGAAGAATGAGTGGAAACAAGAAATACAAAGGGATAGGGGAAGAATGATGTTACAATGTGGAATGATGATACAATTATAATCAATGCCATAAAATGTTATATGTATAAATGGCTGAAGAGAATACCAGTCTACTCTGTAAACATTAACTCAAACCATAATAAAATAAACAAATACAGCCAAACTGAAATTAAAATTAAAAATATATATGTTTGCCATTTTCATTCAAAGCATATACTTAAAATACTATGCTCTATTCATGCAATTATTATCTTTGATAATCAGATAACCTTATTAAGAGCTCATAATTTTCAGGAGATACTTGAAATTTTTCATTCACATGATGTGAAGTGGGTAAAATTGGAAATTTAGAAAGAGTATGGCTCACAGTTATTTGCTAAGGCTAATCTTGAATCAACTTTCTGGTAAAGGTTGGGCTCTGATGCTACACTGCATATCCCTCTCATGAGTGTGATATGAGGAGGGCAAGCTTTGAACTGGAGTCAGTGAACTTCTAGGTCAGACAATTGGAGCTGCTTGTTTAACTTATTTTTGATGCTTACACATAAATCTGATTTATTGTTGTTATGTGCTGTTGAATCGCTTGCGACTCATAGCAACCCTATGTACAACAGCTCTGAACCCTGCTCTATCTTGAGCCAACCTCATTGTCCTGACACACCGATCCCCATCACCCTAATCACTGAGTCAATCCATCTCATCCAGGGTCTTCCTCTCTTGCATGTCCCTCCACCCTCCCAAGCATGGAGTTCCACGGACTGGTCCCTCCTTGGAACAAGGAGGGGGAGGGGAGAAAAAGAGTGAGGAAGGAGTGGGGGAAGGGATGTTAATCATAGCATTGCACAGTTTGATGGGTGGAGACGGTGATGAAGGAAATGGGAAAGATCGTGATGAAGGAAATGGGAAAGATCGGATGTGAAAAACAATGTATATGAACTTTGTAAATAAACCAGTACTAAAAAAGCAAACCCAAACAAAAGACAAAGTATGTCAAATAGAGCTTCAGAATCCTTGCCTCCAAGGAGCAGCCTGGTTTCACTCTCTCTCGGGTGAATCTGTTTGTTCTCCTAGCAGTCCATGGTATATTCAACACTCTATGTGTCAGAGGCAGATATTTGTTCACAAGTACACATATTTCTCTTTTAGCATGTACGTTGTCAGTGGAGAGGCAATTTCCAGACAGGGTCGACATTTCTTACACTTGCATTTAGGTAAGACTATGACTCTAATTCCTAATAATGAAATAAGTATGGACGTTTTATGGCCACTTCTGTGTGAGAACTCAGAGAAAAAGTCAACAAAACCTCTCACCCGTAGCTGACTCTCTAGCACGTTTTCTGAGACCATAAATTGCACAGAGGTGATTGCACATCTTTCAAGGAGCCTGCCTTCAGGTTGGCAGAGTAACTCCTTAACCACTAGGCCACTCTCTTCCTCTGCTCATTGGCTGGATCCAGAGGGTACTAAAACACCAGCCAGGACCACACAGAGAAGGCACCTGGACCCTCCTGAATGGGGAGGAGCTGCTCACTGACAAGGTATACCTTCACTGGAACATACTGTCAATGAAAAGAAATTTCTGCTGTGGTAATAAGCTACACTAAAATTGGAGGTCTTTATTATTACAGCAGTGAGCTTTGTCCTGACTGATATTTCCAATTCATAGAGCTCAAATGAGGAGGAAAGATAGACTTATTTTAATGGAAATTTTAAAAAGATAGAAGAAAGTAAAGAAAAAGGAAGAGAAGAGGGCAAGAGGGAGGGAGGCAAAGAGAGAAAGAAAGAAAAAATGAGTTACCTTTATCACAGTTGATTCCATAGAACCCAGGAGGGCAGATGCAGAAGCCAGGAGTAACGCAAAGGCCTCCATTCATACACCGTGGCATGCAAAGTGCTAACAGGGAGAGAGAATCCTGATTAAGAACAAACAGGATTTGAACTGGGACCATTCTGGCAATGTCAATAATGTCTGTATTTTCAAGTTTTCTGGATGCCTCCTCAAGAATCATTCTTTTTGGACTTAAGAGTTAAACTAGGTGTGGTTTTTGTTGGTGTTTGTTTTTAGTTTTTTAAATCTCTGCCTCAGCCAATTCAACAGAATTTTTTAAAATTCACCATTTGGATGATTGTTGTCCACAGACATTGTTTTGACTAAGACTTAACTCTGTAGACATTTTCTCTCTACGTTCCCTCTCTTTGATCTTCCAATTCCTAAATAAATGCAAATAAGAAAATACTCTTATTTATTTAATATGAAAAATATTCTCTGGTCAAATGAGCTCTTTGTATTTAAATATCTGAGGACAAATGTTCTTTGTTTCTCTCTTTTTCCCCTAGAATTTTCTCAGAAGAAATTTTCCTAAAATGGATGGACTTACTATAAAAATTATTTTTATCTATCTCTTGGCTGCATAACTTCTTAACTCAGTTGTAACTTAATTGTGAATCAAAATTTTCTTATGGGAAAGGATAATTTCAAACCATGAACAATTCTGCTTTTTAGTAAGTTAGTTTAAATTCCAACCTAAGTAAAGGGTGGGTGTGGGTAGAACCTCAACACTTTCAGAAGATTGCACGCACAGTGAAAACCAGTGTGTTCAGGAGCAGGAGAATGGGATTCTAAAATAGTAGACATTGTACCAAGGCCCTGTTAACCCCATCTGGAATTTAACAGAATGCCACTTCTGAGTTTTTTTAAAAAGTTACCAGAAATTTATAATGTGATCAGAAATACAATCTCAGGGAATAAGTTGAGAATACTTGTGCAAGCCTCTGGGCAGTGCCCCCACCCTCGCGATGAAGGAACTCAGAGAAGTGATCTCTCTACTTCACCTTTCTCACAGTGTGGTCCGTAGAATCCATCCGGACACTCGCAGACACGTCTTTCATTACAAAAGCCTCCATTTCGGCATCCTCCAGGGCATTCGGCTTCACCAGTGATAAAGAAAATGTAGAAGGATATTTTTCAACTCATATTTACAGATTACAGTCCAATGTTAAAAGGTCATTCTGTCTCTTGTATACCAATTACATAACTTAGTAACACAGATGGCTGCTTTCCTCGGATGATCACTCATTTTTCCTTTCTATACTGGATATGGTGAGGACTTCACAAGATAGGGCAAGGTTCAGATCACTGTTCACAGAGTCGCTGTGAATCACATTGATTGGATGGCACACAACAGCAGCAACAAGCTCTGGTGGCCTAGTGGCAAGAAGCTGTGCTATAATCCCGAAGGCGTGTGGTTCAATGCCATCAGCTGCTCCCTGATGGAATGGGCAGTCTCCTCCTGTGCAATTAACTGCCTTTGAAAACCCACCAGAGGGTCAGCTATGCATTGGTTCTGACTCTATGGTACACAACAACAACAACAACGTGAACCTGAACAAAGGTATGATATTTTTAATCACTTCATATGTATGAGAGCTCTGGTAGTCTAGTGTAAGAAGTTGCGTGACCAACCCTAAGGTATGCAGTTCAAATCCATCAGCTGCTCTGCAGAAGAAAGACAAGCAATCTCCTCCCCACCTCCATGCAGTTTACAGCCTCAAAAAACTCACTGGGGGTTAACGATGAGTCGGTTTCAACCAATGGCAATGAGATGATGATGAGTTCCTTAGCACTTAGATGAGATGTGTACTTGGGTCAGGCTTTGTGGGGAGGCTGAGAGCAATAAATGTGAACTGCCTTCATGACTGAGTAGACATCTTTTATTCTACTATACGGTTGATCATGATGATATATACCTAATAAACTGAGGTGACGCCCAGCAATAGCCAGAGTAATGTACTGCAAAACTCCTACCCATATATGCGCTTATTTATGATTGGGTCCAGAAAGACATGATTGACCGTCTAAAAGTTCTGAATAGTCCTCATGCAGATTTTATCGTTTGCAATGGTATGAACACTGGTCAGGATCTTGGGGTCTGAAAACTACCATGTTTCCTTGCCTTTGAGAATACTGCTCATGATCTCTCTCTACTGTTTCCTGACTGAGTTGACCACCTTCTGTGTCCTTCAGGTTAATAAAACCTTACTTAATTCACGTTCACACTCCTAGGGTGCTACAGTTACCACACTTGGATGTTAGCCAAAAAGTTGACATGTCCAAAACAATTGACCACTGAAAACCCCTGGATCACCATTCTACTCTGACAGCACTGAGTTCTCCATCATTTGAAACAACCTGATGGCAACTAATTACTGGTAGAGCCACCATTTGTTTGACCTTCCCATCCACTTGAGTGTACTATTATTATTTGCCAACAAAATGTTCATACTAGGAATTACTGGCTGTGGTAACTGCACTTGTTATTCTTTACCACCAGGCTATTCAAGAATTTTAATACTCTGGGAGTTTGAAGGATTCTAATCATAGTTCATTTCTGTCTTTTTAGAGAGGATGGTAAAGAGAAAGAAATAGAGAAAATAGTTTAATTTTATTCATTTGCTTTGTTAATTAGACATTCAAATTTATAATGCTTTTCAAAATAGCAATATTTTAAAGTACTATGTTAGAACCAAGACCAAAAATCCACTGCCCCAAACTCCCTGACTCATGTTGTTAGGTGCTGTTGAATCCAGGATGACTCATAGTGACCCTAGGAACAGCTGACCTGAACTCTGCCCTGTCCTGTGCCATCCTCATCATCTCTGATACACTAAAGCCCATTGCTGACGTCCATCTCACTGGGGGGGAGGGGTCTTCTTTTCCTTTGCCGACCCTCCATTTTTCTAAGCATGATGTCCCTTTCCAAGGAATAGCCTTGCCTAGCTACATGTCCTAAGTAAGTGTGAAAAGTGAAAGCTTTGTCATCTTTGCCTCCAAGGAGTACTGGGGCTTTACTTTATCCAGGACATATATTTTAGTTCTTTTGGCAGTACATAGAATATTCAATACTCTTCTCCAGCATTATAACTCAAAGGCATCGATTCTTTTTCTAGCATCTTTATTCATTGTCCAGCTATATGAAGTGGGGGGAGTATTTGAGAAGATCATGGCTGTTTCGTGTTAAAGAAAAAGAACTACCTTAAAGGGTTTCTAGTATGGCAGCAGATTGCTGCTTCTTCCTCCTAGAGAGTGGCAGTGGGTCCAGACCACTATCTTCTCAGCATCCAATCATTTGACGGAGGTGTTATCAGAGCTGTTTCACACGGAAAGGAAACGCTAAACTCTAGCATTTTTTATTGTTGTTGTTTTTGTGCACTGTCGAGTCAGAACCGACTCATCCAATGGGTTTTCAGGGGCAGTTAATCACACAGGATGAGATTGCCCATGCTTCTCTCATGGAGCAACTAGTGGATTTGAACAGTGTGCCTCTGAGATTGCAGTGCAGCTTCTCACCACTAGGCCAACAGAACTGGGAGACAATATAATAGCCAAGCACCAACAATAACAATTGGTCTGAGTCAAATCTCAGCTTCCGAATTTTTTTGGCTGTGTGATCTTTGCTTGATACATTATCTAATTTCATTTGTAAATTAGTGCTATCAACACTATGTAGCTCATAGGGTTGAGGGAGGATTAAAGGAGATAATGCATGTAAAGAATATTTGATGGTGTCTAGAATAAGACTAATGTTCAATTATTATTGTTATTAAAATAGCAAGAATCATAGACTTGAAGGTTAATAGAAAGAATTAGATGATATTATTCAATAAAGATATATGGAGTTCTTACTATTTTTCAGTCACTGTTCTAGGAGAATATTGCCCAAGGAACTATAAATAAAACTAGTAAGAGGACGTGATTTCCTTTTAATTTATTTGATTAAAAAATTGTAGGTAACCTAAAAGCAAAACAGAGTGAAATTAAATTCATGACTATAGTTGCCTGGGCAACCTGAAAAGGAATCCAAGTGATGTGCAGGACATCCATGTTCACGTTCATCCACGTCACACCTGAAACCTCATGGACTTTCTCTCGTATCCCCATCAATGCTTACCTTGTTGACATGTTTTAAAGAAGATAGCGTTTTGAGGTGTTTGGAGGATGGTATTTCCTTCAGAATTCATTACAATCACATTCACTTCAAATGCGGCCACTCCATCTTGTTTTCCAAGACATGGGAAACCAACTTGAACAACTAAAAGAAAAAGGTAGACAATATGGAAACTTTGTTTATCTATTTGATTCCAGTATTACAGAAATCTTAGTAGCCCTGTAACATGGGGCTGTATTTTGATTGTCTGGCCATTTAAAAAACAAACAAACACCTTTCTACATCATACTGGGTAGAAAGAAAATAAATGACCCTCATTAATTTGTAATCCAGTAATTTAGAATAAAGAAGCCTTGGTGATACAGTGGTTTAGTGTTCAGCAGCTAAGTAAAAGGTCAATGATCTTGCAACAATGAATGAATGGAAATCCAAAGTCTCTGTAAATTTTCATTAAAATTAATAATAATAATAATTTATAAAAGGTCAATGATCTGAACCCATAAATAGTTCTGCAGAAGGAAAAGATCTGGGGATTTGCTCCTGGAAGAATTATGGCCTGAGTTACAGCCTAGAGCAGCTCTACACTATATGTAGAAATCCACTCAATTTCATAACAATAATATTTTTCAATTTTAAATATTTTGCTCATAGATTGGGTACAAGTGAACTATTTTCTCTGAAAAGTGAAAGTACGACCAGGTAATGTAGAATAATTAATGGAAGATATTTGGTGGGCACTTTCATCAGCCCACACATAATCCACAAAGAGTGAAATATAAACTTTTTTATAAAATAAAAAATTAGCAAGAATCATAGACTTGAATTATTAAATAACGCTCTGTGTACAATATCCTGTTTTACTGTGATAGTACATTACTATGATAGTGAGTTCATTTTATTGTGTGCTTAAAAGTGGCAAAATATCATCTCTGAAAATACTCTACAATTCAGACTAAATTTTAATCATTGGACTGAGTTAAGTAGTTTCCTTAGCCTATGTAGTGTGCATATCTTGGGATTTAGAGGAGAGGTGGACATGATGAAATAATCTCAAAGAAAGTGTCAGTACCTAAGGATCCCTGAGTGGTGCAATTGGTTTACATCCTACAGTACTTAAAGGCTGGCAGTTCAAGCCCATGCAATGGTGTTGCGGAAGAGACGCTTGACAATTTATTCCTGGGAAGGAAACCATATAGAGGAGTTCTACTCTGTAACTCTTGGGAATTGCATGAGTTGGAATTGATGGCAGTAGGGTTTTTTGTTTTGTTCCAGGGTCTAAGAGAAGCCTAACTATCATTTGATGTAGTTTAGTGTTGACAATGAAGCCAACTAATCGAGAAGGAACTAATCATGCTTCTATGTAGATGGAGTGAGAAAGCTATCAAGTGGGAAATATCAACAACTAACTGGCGTAATGGAGCAAATCATGTGTGACTGTTGTCTGAAAAGGGAGCTCTGGTGGCTAAGGGATAAGGAGTCGCACAGATACCCAAAAATGGTTGTTGCTGTTGTTGTATACTGTCGAGTCAGAACTGACCCATACCTGACTCTTCACTGGTGAGTTTTTAGAAGCAGTTAATCAAACCACACAGGAGGAGATTGCCTATCTTTCTAGCAGCTGGTAAATCCTTTGTGCAGCATAGCTTCTTGCCACAAGGCCCTCAGAGCTCAACCCCAAGGAAGGTAGATCTAATCCACCACCTTGGGAGAAAGATGGACAATCTCCTCCCATGCAAATTACACTCTCTGAAATCCACTGAAGGGTCAGCTACTGATGGTACCTAAGAATTAAAGAAAAGATTGGCTGAAAGACTGCTTGTACAAATTGCCTAGATGATCCCAATTTATATAATGGAAAATATTAATGTTGCTAATAGGCACATGTGTGAAATTTTGCTTCATTTTGTTTCTGTATGGCAGGATATGGTTAATGCCAACTTTGGGACATCATATTAAGCTTAAACAAACCAATTCCTTTTAGGGTTTTCATAAACGTTTTTCCTTTTTCTGAAAAAGAATTAAGAGTTGGCCTGAACTTTCCTCTCAGGCATTGTACACAAGCCAGTTATACAATCTTCTTACTGTGCTTGGCAGCTAACTCCCAAGGCTTTGGCATTGTCAGGGCTGCTTACTGTGCCATTCTCAAATTAACAAGGATTTCCACTTCCCTCGAGTCTTGAGATTTGAGTAGTGCCAATTATTTGTTAAATGAGGAAAAGGGAACAGGAATATTATAAGAGGAAAGAAGAAAGAGCAAGTGAGCAAGAGAGGGAGAAAAAGTGTGCCTGAATTTCCAAATGGAAATTACCATAATTGAAAACCTTTATTTCAGGAAACACTATATATGACATGCCAATTTATAAAACAAATAGATATTTTAATTTTAGAAGAAAACAAAACAGATCACACACACATAACTATCTATAAATTATAAGTTCTTGCATTTAATTTATATTTTAATTGTAAAGTTTCATTTACCTCTCTTATAAGTCTTTAGCATGATGAGTAATAATCGTGAGGCACAAAAAAATAGAAGAACCTGAGTGGATGCTTAAAGACTGAAGTTTTAGAACCTTACTATTTGGAGCATGTGAACACTTAATTATAATTTAACCAGATATTAACCCTAACTCCAAATGTATTATTTTCTAGGTGTATACTGTTCTTGCTCTACTTATCCTCTACTTTCCAGCCTAACTAATCCTTTTCCTTTTGTTTTCTTTTAGGTTTCAGATTTTTGTCTGAAAGAGAAAAAAAATGCTTATATGTAAATCCTTCATCTTTGTTTACAAGCATTGTAAAATTTCAAAATAGATCAGTCATGATAAATGTAAAACAATATCACTTGTTTGGGGAATTTGGTTAAGAACAGTTAGTGGTTCCTAACCATCTTCAGATGTGCTAAAAGCAGTCCATTTGCTTATTTGGTTAAACTATAATTAAGTGTTCACACGCTCTAGACATTAGCAGTTGTTGCTGGAGGATCTGGTGTACATAAAAAGTGTGAGATTGTCTAACAATATCTCTCAGCCAATGAAAGTAGAGGCATGTGCAGGGTTCATTTGTCTTGTGGTATGGTATGGCTGACAGGTATGGCTTTGGACAGACAGTACAGAGGAATGAAAACAGATGCAAGATCCAACAGAATGTTCAATAAGGAGAATACATATAGGTAATGCACTTTAGAGTATTTAAAAATGAACATTTACTTTATAGGGCTAAATAGAAAACGGAGTCAAAATACAAAGAGTGCATCCATTCCATAAGTATTTATCGGGTGTTTATTATGTACCAGGGAGCTTTGGTGGTATAGCCTGTAATGAGCTGCATTGCTAACCCGAAAGCGACACCTCTCAGTAGTTTGAATCCACCGGTGACTTTAGAGAAAGGTGGGCAATCATCTCGTTTTTAGTTTACAGCCTTGGAAACCTACAGGAGGGTCAGTGATGAGTCAATTCTGACTCAACAGCAATGTATTTGAGTTTTAGTATGTGCCAGTCCAGAAAGAACTTACTGTTGTTGTTATGTGCAGTCAAGTTGCCTGCAACTCATAGCGACCCTATGTACAACAGCTCTGAATGCTGCTCTATCCTAAGCCAACCTTATTGTCCTTGACACACCTATCCCCATTACCCCAGTCACTGAGTCAATCCATCTCATCTGGGGCCTTTCTCTCTTGTGCTGTGCCTCCAACCTACCAAGCATAATATCCATCTCCAAGGATTGGTCCCTTCTTGCAACATGCCCAAAGTATGTCAGACGAAGCTTCAGAATCCTTGATTTCAAGGAACAGCCTGGTTTCACCCTCTCCAGAATGAACCTGTTTGTTCTCTTACCAGTCCATGGTATATTCAGTACTCTTCTCCAGCACCATAGCTCAAATGCATCAATTCTCCTTCTATCATCACTAGTCATTGTTCAACTTTCTGATGTATGTAGTTGCAAAGACCATGGCCTATATCAGGTGGACCTTAGTCTCCAGACTGATGTTGTTGTTTTTCAGTATTTAGGAGAGATCCCTGACAGAAGACTTTCCCAATGAAATTCATCTTTTGATTTCCTGGCTTCTGGTACCAAGTGTGTTGATTGTTGAGTCAAGCAAACTAAAGCTGTTAACAGTCTCAGTCTCTTCACCATCTATCATGATGCTGCCAATCAGCCCAGTGGTGAGAATCTTTGTTTTCTTGATGTTGAGCTTCAATTCATATAGAAGGCTGCGATCCTTGACCTTCTGCAGCAAGTTCTTCAGGTCCTCCTCAGTTTCAGCAAGCAAGGTTGGGTCATCTGCATAACACAGTTTGTTGATGAGTCTTCCTCCAATCCTGATGCCACACTTCTCATAGAGCCCAGCCTCTTGGATGATCTGTTCTGCATATAGATTGAAAAAGTATGGGGACAGAATTCATCCCTGGCATATACCCTTCATGATTTTAAGCCATGCAGTGTTTCTTTGCTCTGTTCTGATGATTGCTTACTGGTCAGAGTATAGGTTTCACATAAGCATAATCAAGTGTTCTGAGATTCTCATTCTTCTCAGAGTCAGCCACAATTTGCTGTGATCCACACAGTCAAATGTCTTTGCATAGTCAATGAAACACATATAGACATTCCTCTGTTATTCTGCTTTTAACCAAGATCCATCTAACATTAGCTATAATATCCTTAGGACCACAACCTCATCTAAACTAAGTCTGCACATCTGGCAGTTCTCTGTTGATGTGCTGCTGCAGTAGTTTTTGTATAATTTTCAGCAGAATCTTGCTTGTTTGTGATATTAATGATACTGTTTGATAATTTCCACACTCTGTTGGGTCACTTCTCTTTGGAATGGGAACAAATTCTAGTCATTTGGCCAGATGGTTGTCCTCAAGATTTCTTGGCACAACTTTGTGAACGCATCCAGAGGAGCTTATGTTTGTCAAATGGTATGCTGTCAATTTTACTTGCTCTAATTCATTTGGGGTAATTTCTGTAGGTTGAATGTTGTCCTCCGTCTCTCTGGTGGCCTTGTAGGTAAGGAGGGGGGCTGCCAACCCAAAGGCAGTTCTCATCCACCTGCTATTCTGTGGGATAAAGGTTAGCAACATCATCCTGAGCAATTCATAACTTTGCAAAATCACTAGAGGGTCCCCTGTGAGTTGATT